GAAATGGATGAATATTATACATGATATATAGGATAAAGTTTGTATAAATTTTTGACCATATCATTTATTTTAGTTTTAAAAGATCAATTTTTAGTAACTAGTTAATAATGATTTAGTAACTAGTTACCGTAGTTAACTAACCTTTAAAAATGACATAGGTCGAGCAGTCGACCCATGTGTTGTCAATAATCAAATTTTTTGGCATCATATAACTCTGAATTTTTAGAAGTTCATGATAAAGTTAATATTACAATGGAGTAATTGTAGCTCATCTATATATGATATTAAAAATTTTCTTCTTTTCATTTTTGTGATAGTTCAAGAGAGGCGGTAAAAAATTTGTCAAATTTTTGATGGTACCTACAAAATAAAAGGCGGGTTAAAGTTTAATTATAAGTAAGTAAACTAAGAAAACATCAATTATAATTACAGATTTCATCTAATTTTACTTTCTAGTTTATATTTCTTCTAAAAGCAATATAGATTATTTGCTTCTTACCACAAATTTAAAAAATTAGTCCAACATACATTTGATCATTGGACCAATACATATACTTGTCAAGATTCGACAATTAATTCATTTTCATAATAAAAAGACGTTCAAACGAATTAGCAGACATTTAAACGACTTAGCATACTCATCAGAAGAAAATTTTAGATAGTAAACGACTTGTCAAAAAATTTCTCTAGCGCATTAACATTGTGTCCAAGAATTTCTTTTCAATATTTGTTTGAAAAATGTATCAATTAACTCATATATTGTAAATCTCAAATATGCATGTATTTTTAAAATGAACATATTTTCTTTGGTAAATGCAATAATTTAGTTCATCCATCAATACTCTAACAATCAAATGTTTACTTTTATTATTAACTAATTCATAAATCTTCCAACAAAAAATCTATCATGTACAAAAACTACAACAACTCTTTGCTATCTTTACTTTTACATGTATATTATTAACCAATTTAAATGTATCATTCGTAAAATATTTTCTATAGTCTAAATAAACTTCATTATTATCAACACATCAGTACCTAAACTATCCTCCATCATCAAAACCAAAACTATCATCGTTACACATTTTTAGTGGCGGATCCCGAAATGTTTTTTACCAGGGTTAACTAAAGTTTTTTTTTAAAAAATAGTAGATTTCTGTATATACTTTAATTTTTAATAATGAACGTATTTTAACAAAATATACTTATTAACGTGTTAAATTGCTTTTGAGAAATTTAAATCTAGTTTTTAATTAAATATAGGTATTTTATTTATAAACAAAATTTAATAGATGGGATATAGTTTAGTTGGCCTACTCAACAAGCTAAGTCCGTCAAAGACGCCTTCACGACCATGTGGTTTACCCAATTGATTGGCACTCTTCTCTCTATACACTTTGCAAACCCCTGAATGTTCACAACTGGTTCGCTAATTTGTTTCATGCAATAGATCTTTTTCAACCTTCCAGCAAAAATATGAGCAGCCTTCTTTATTTCCCCTTCAGATTCTTCGCGCAAAAATGTCATGGTCATGCATACTTTGCTTCCCAATGATATTATCAAAATTAACGAATTCTTAGATCTCGAGGAGACGGTCTATCGTACCTCGAATCCTTTTCTAATGCTTAGAGCTGATGGTACCGCATAATCTTTTCCCACAATTTTTCCTAGTAAGCTCGAAAAGTACAAGAGAATCATAATTAGATGGCTTCTTCGAAAATTTAGCTCCAGCTTTAATTCTGTTTATAAATCATTGGTGACAGCTTTCGCTTCTTTCCTTAGAAGCTATATTTGGTTTGTTAGAAAAGCATAAAACTTTATGATACAACTAGATGACTTAGGGGGTGTTATTCAATCATTGAATAACACCATCTTAATCTCTTTGGTAGAAAGAGACAATGACTCGATCTTTATCAGGGCTGGTACAGTAGTGATGAGTGTTACATAAACCACCCATATCCCCTTTTAAAGTTGTTTCTTTAATGATATCTAGTGGACACTCTTCCTATGATGTCCATAAACATGTAACCGTAATGAAGGAGAACTTTGCTTAAAATAAACAGTAGAAAAAAAAAATGAAAATATGTCAAAAGTTGAAGAATGAGTTATGGCCCAATTAAAAAAAAAACTAAAATTTAATGTTGTAGTAAAGGGAAGTGATCGATATTGGGAAGTTGGGATAGGAAGTTTTTAACCAAGCTAGCCACCACAACTAGAGCTGTCAGCGGGTCAAACCCGCCCTGCAACGAATTTAAAATTTTTTAACCCGCACAAAACCCGTCATGGTTGAGTCTGAGGGACATGCGGGTATATAAATAATTTATTTCAAATTTCTAAAATATATTTAAAGAAAAAAAATAATTAATAATAATTTTAAACATTAATACACATAGTTTTTAAGAAAAACAGAAATTTTGATAATTATTTTATATATGTTGCAAATTATTTTAAGATTTTACTATAATATATGAGTTAAATTTATAAATAATTATATTTTTTTTTAACCCGTGGATTTACCCGCAAAACTCCGTAATTTATGAACATCCGCTCCACGGCAAGCTTGTCGGGGCAAGACTTGCGGGTTTTGCTCACCTGTTATAAATGTGTTTAGTCAATTCCATTTGTTTTTAAAATTTAATATTAGTTATAAAGTATGTATTTTAACAAAAAAATTATATAAATATATACATTTTCAATGTTTGAAAATAGCAATTGGGTAACAATGTAACATGTTAGTAAAAATTACAAATACTAAAAATGACATTTTTTATTTTTATAAAGAATTAGATTCGTTTTACTGAAAATAAAATTGATGATATCATCAATATGAGAGTGTGGCAGACGATTGCCTTGACAAGATACAATGAGAATGTTAGTTCTTCGCACTCCCACCGGACCTGTCTCCGCCGTCAAATTCATCGCCAAATCCAAACCTTCTGCTTTCTCTTCTCCCGATTCATGGCTCGTCCCCGCTCCAAACACTCCCCGGAGACGGCAACGCGTCGTCCTCGCTCTCTCTAACCCCGACGGAAGCGTCAAATCCAAACCCTCAACCTCAGTTTCTCAAATCCCTTCTTCAGGAGATGACACAGTTTTCGTGGGTCAAGAGAATGTTCCTCTCGAGGGTGTTATTCAATTCGATAAACCATCATCATCTACTTCATCTTCTAACATCACCAAATGGGGGTAATAAAACCTCTTCCTTTGCTTTGGTTTAGTCTCTCTAGAGGAATGATTGCTTTTGTTTTGTTATCTCAACTCTTTGTGTAATCTCTTCAGTCGTGTGGCCTTACTTGCTGGTGGTGATGTTTTAGCTCTGCTTATCTTCTCTGCAATTGGGAGATTTAGCCATGGTTTCCCTGTTTTTTCTATTGAAACTCTCCACACAGCTGACCCTTTCATTGCCGGTATTGATTCGTTTTCGTTTTTCGCTTTCTCTTATCAGTTTTGTGTTTGAGAAGCTTTGTTCCTAATAAAAATGGAAACTTTTTGTGGCAGGATGGTTTCTGAGTGCATATTTCTTGGGAGGATATGCGGAGGAAGGGAGAGGAATGAAGGGTCGGTCTAAAGCCGTGGTTGCAGCTGCAAAATCTTGGATTGTCGGAGCTCCGGTAAGGCTGCATTTACTCAACTGAAACTACTAATCTAGTGATGTTTTTGAGATGTAGCTTTAAGGATGTTAGTATCTCTACTGAGCTTTTAAAGCTTGTTCTTTTCATTGCAGCTTGGGATTATCATTAGGTCAGCTTCATCGGGTCACATCCCGGCTTCTAGCTTTGTATTGGTGACAATGGGAAGTACTGCTGTTTTACTTATTGGATGGAGAGCATTGCTATTCAGTGTGCTTCCTACAGAGTCCAAGAAGAAAGATGATACGTATCGGAAAGGCAGTGCATTCGAGCTATTTGAGGTCTGTGAATGCATTTTCTCTAAGTGTCGAGAAGAAAGTTAGAACCTTTGCTTACATCTGTTTCAGTATTTATCGTGTCTGTTCAAAGGTGATGCTAATGATGTGTGGATTCATACATGTTGCAGTTGCTTACTTCATTGATAAGACGGTGGTGAAGGAGCATCCATGAATGTGCGGGCGGATGGAGGTTGAGTTTCAACATGCACAAATTTGTAGATGTACTTTGGAACAGTCGCCAAGAGATCATAAATATATGAGTGTTGAAAAATTCCAGGATCAACTGTAATATAGATATAGTTGCAGCGCGCAGTGGAGGAGAAAATGATTACTTGTTATCCCAAGTAATTGGGAATAGCAATTCGTAAGTATGTTGTAAGTTGTCGCTGTGGGTTAGCCAGTGTTCCCAGACCTCATTGCAGACCAACTTTTTTTTGTCAAATGTTCTAAAAAGATGTATGAATACCCGAAAAGAGCATCTAAGCAAACCGTTCTTAACAAACAATGGTGGACACCTAAGAAAGAAAGCATAAGATGGTAAGGAATTGTAATGGTGGAATCAAGTGTCAATCGGTATGAACGATGGATTCATTTTAAGGAGAGTTGGACGATCATGGATTCTGAGTTCCTAAGTAGAATTGTCTTTTGTAGAAAGACTAAATTATTGACATTTTTCAGTGAGAGACGAGAATTGGGACGCCGATGTAATATTATTGGTGCCAATCTATTAGTAAAAGAAAACTCATATCCAACACTTGAACTTGGTGAACAGACAAGTTATTAAGTTAGTAGAGGAGGTCAAAGTTCTAGACAGACAAAGACTTACGGATAAGAAACATTGTGACCCATAGTACTGTACCAAAATGAAATTGGTTTGGTCATCTGCGACCGTCAATGCAATTTACCTCAAACCGTCAATGCAATTTGCCTCGAACCGGTGCCAAATGAAAGCTGACTCAAAGCTATGTATATTTGTGTCCAAACACTCGTGCAATCGTAATTGACTCACCATAATAAATAATTTATTTGATCTTACTGTTTCTTATTCCTTTTTTTGCTTCTCAAGTCTACTTTTTTTGGATGGTTTTCCTCGTTGACAGTAAGAATTAAAGATTTCGGTATATATCCAATTAACAGAGAAATGAAAAGAAAGTAAAATTATCATTACAGTGTAAAAAGATGAATCAAGAAAGTAATTGAGATGTAGAAAGGTTTCCAGATGAAGCAAAAATGTGACAAATACTTTTTACGACTTGTCAGCGATTAATGTCGGATTTCACCATCCTCCCCAACTTCTCCATCCTCTAGCTCGTCATGACCACTTCGACGACTACCTTCCCGCTGTTCCTTCTTCTGTCTTTTATGCCGGTTTTCACTGTCTGATTCAGGTGAGTTTGCGTGCTGCCAAGAAAAACCATCCCTCTTATTTTAAATCTTTATCCCACCAAATAAATTTCAAGCTTAGCTAAGTCAGAATTGAAGTCGAACCTTTCTTGATTTTTTACGATCATTACCATGTTTACGAGAGGACTTCTTCGACTCATCTCTGTCATCCCTATCAGAACTGACATCTTCATCAGAATTGTGATGCCGTCTCCGATGTTTTCTGTCTCGATCTTTTCCCTTTCTTTTCTCGTCTTTGTGACCTTCGCTCACATCCATAGCAGTCTCACCATCTGATTCTTCCCGTTTACTCCTCTCTTTTCCCTTCTCTTTTTCACGTTCTCTTTCCTTTTCCCTTCTCTCCTTATCCTTGTCTTTCCGTTTCTCTTTCTCGTCCCTTTCCTTCTCTTTTCTAACCTGAAAAAGTCCACAACAATAAAGTCTAAGAGATCCGTTCTTACACAAAAGAAAAATAAATTCCATGCACGAAGAATCAGTACCTTTTCCTCATCACGCTTACGCTCCTTCTCCTTTGCCTTTTCTTGTAAACTCGTTATGTATTCCTCAAATAACCCTCGGCTAACACTTTCATCTCCAATCGATCTAAGGATTTTCAAAATGGGACATTAAGAAAGTAATACCACAATCTTTTTTTTTACTTAAGGTGTTGGCTTACAAGACTATTTGGTAAGTCATGAAGCAACCTATTCAAAGCAAGAAACTATTTACCTGTACTCTTGACTTTCTTCTAATAGTTGTTTGCTATCTTCCCAATTCGAAGCTGCGGTTATTTCCTAAACCAAAAAATATCTTTAACATCCCAGCGAATCCAGACAAAAAGAAAGTCACCATGGGTACGATAGATATACCTTGAAAGTGTGCAACAGATTGGTAAATTCTTCAGCCAGACGCTGAAGCTTTCTAGCCTCTTTTTCTTCTTTTTCCTTCGCTCTCCCAACCAAGTCATCATATATAAGCTGATAAACAAGGGAAAAATAAATAAATTAGAGCCTATATAACTGAACTTTACACCTAATATATATCTTCCAATGTACACAAATTAGATAGCCGTTTCTGTTGATTAATTTATGTACTGACACATGTTCTTTTTACAACTGAGCCCGTACCTTTAAATTTATATCTGATATCGGTTGAGAACTGAGATCTTCTGAAATAGCAGATTTAAAATCTTCAAATAGCCACGAGGAGACCATGGAAATCTGTAGAGAAAGCGATTAGATAAAAGTTGGTAAAATGAATAAGTAGAAATCCTTGACTTGCCTTCCTTGACTTCATAGCATCCTTTACGTAACTCTTGTCCTCATGGTACTGTCAATCAAAACACCAAAAAGGTTTGATTATCATAACTATCAGATTCACGCATAGCTAGAATAGTCTACCAATAGAGAAATACACTGTATCTAGTCCAAATTACCTGTTTCTCTAATTCTTCTGTGATATCTTCAAACAAGTCTTTCGGAGTTGAGCCAGATGTATTAGATGCAACAGCTTGGTATTGGGGCAAGTCTTTTAACTGTACATAAAATAACTGAGCAAAAGAATCCAACATAAAATATAATTTTTCCAGTAAAGATCTAAAGTGTCAGACACCTCAATGCAATAATCCAACCAGTACGTCTTGGCTGTAAGAATGCCAGCAGCGACATGTTCTTCCAAAAGTGTACGAAGTGCATCACGGTTTTTTCTCTCGGCCCGCCGTACATGTTCCTAGCTCCACAAGAAAATGAAACCATGAGCATTGGACTACATAAGAACAAATATGAGGTTATAACCATGAAAATTGACATTACTTTCTCTACTCTCTTCTGCTCCTCCTCTTCCTTCTCTAAGTCAAGCATGTATTCCTAGGATAACAAATATTAGAAACAAATTTTATTTGGCAGTCTGAACTACTCCACGAAGTTACTTACCTCAAAACCAATCAGACGATCTATCTTTTCGAGACATGAGCATCTTTCGTCATCCTCCAGTCTCTCTTGAATTTTGCGCCATTGTGTACCAGCCTTCAAATACATATAATAAAAGGTATTATGACAAGGTCTATGAAATAAAAAGGTTTGCAGGAACAAGCTTCACAAAGAATGATATACTTTGATATAGTCACAGGTTTCAAGAAACTTCCGATACTCTGCCATATGCTGCCGATGTTCCTCCGCTGCCTTTTCTCTTTCCTGCAGATTAAAGGATTCATCATGTCAGTTCAAACACAATGAATTTCCCTCTTCTACAAAGTAACAAACGATATTCTCTATAGAAGCTTTAAAATCCACCATGCTGGTGCACCAGATTCTTATCTCAGCCACAATCTAAAGGCCCACCCAAATAATTGCTTCGCCGTAATTATGACATGTCTCTTGTGATCATACTGAGGTCGAAAACTATTTGGACTGTAATAACCAAAAAAATTAAAAATCCCTCGTACAACGCCTTCATGTTCATAGGCATGCCTTGTTTTGCTTAGCAGAGCAAAGTATCACACCAAACAATCAAAAAGCTAAATCAACAAATGAAAACAAAAGCCCCCCAAAAAAAGCCAGATGTTTACCTTCCTCTCAAGTTCCACAACGTAATTGTCAAAAAGATCTTCACGATCCCTAGGACGATCAACAGCTTTAAAGCGCTCATCATTTTCAAACAAACTCATTGCTTTGCTGGTGAAGGAATAGTTTCCACAGCACATATGTCACATATACAATAAAGACAAGAACCAAAGATGTTGTAATTAACTGAAAGCCACACACCTCCATTTCATGGATGATGAAAGTTCTTCACACTCCTGAGGTCAGGAAATATTATTATAACATAATCAGCTAATCAGTCACACTAATCAAACCAAACACTAAACTTCTGACTCCTTTGGTACATACCTCTAGCATCTTGACAAATTCTTCCCTAGCTTTCTTCTGCCTCCTTCGTCTTTCCTCAGCTTCCACTTTTTTCCTTTGACCAAGATACTGAAATTTTTTCTTTATCAGATAATTACATCACAAATAAAGACTGAAAGTCTGCGACACATTACATAGACAGGATATAAAAACGCATTTGCACATTATAGCTAGGAACTAAGAAATTATATACCTCGTTAAACGCTTGTTTCCGCTCACCGAGTGTCCTCAAAGCACCATATCTTTTATCGTGAACAATCTCTTTCAATGTCTATCAGGGGATGGATAAGGTCAGCAATCAACCAAGTAGAAGGTTAGGGAGAAAATGCAGGCCATATTGATCAGTTACAGAAATACTTGCGTATACGTCCAGATTACCTGTTCCCATGTCCAGTCGGAATGAACATTTACAGATTCCAAAAGAGACTTGAAAGCAGCTTTGGCCTCCTAGAAAAAAATAACCAACAGTGCAAAAATTGATGGATGGCAAATAAAACATTATGCTACAGATATGAGAAATATCAGGAGGAGAAAATTAGGATAAGAAAGTACCTGCTTAGTAGCATATACCATAGGTTCCTCGACATTTGCTTTGTCACCAGCAGGTGACAAATTGGCTTTTCCATTCACAGACATTTCCTTATTCTCAGCCTAACAAAAAATTCAAAATAATTAGAAAGCATACCAAGGTGTAACACTAGATCATAAATATTCATGACACCACCACATCATCACACGTACAGTAATTATTGAACATAAGTCTTCCAATAACTTGTACAAGTTATTATTGACCTCTTTTTACATGAAGCTAAGTAGAAAGCAGGTAAACGGAATACATAAGAATAGAATTTTAAAATCTAGGCAAGTCAATGTAAAAAGGAAAATTAAAATCATGCCTCATTGTTTTGTGCTGTAGCTCCATCATTTGAATCATCTGCCCCCCGAGAAGGTAAATTATCGGGTTTTCTGTTATGATAGGCACAAGAGTTAAATTCAAAGGCTTGATAGAGTGTATAATCATAAAACAAAACTTCCCAAGGAAAAATAGTACATTGCAGAAGCCTCAGTATCACTAGTTGCAGCAGATGTTGGAGTAACAGGAGCAACAGAGGGAGGACGAGTGACAGGTACAGCCAAACCCGCTTGAATAGGGCTTGAAGAATGTCCAGGAAGTGCTGAAGATGTGCTGGGAACAACAGAAGTCACAGTGCTAACTGCTAGATCAGACGAGGATGCAGCATGGTTGGACAGAGGGGTAGATCCAGCTTCTGAAAGGGACGTTTTTTCACTAGCTAGTTGGGCTTGTTCCCGAGCTAACTGCATACAACAACTACACAGGTTTAACGTAGGCTTTGCATTGGGGAGTGTGCATGAAAGAGAGATAAATAGGTAGACCTTTAAATCTTCCGGAATTGTCCACTTAGACTCCTTTGTAACCTTGTTATAATAATATCTGCATAAATTAAAACAACTAATCAGTTGCAACAATAGAGAATAAGTATGATACAAAGACTAAATGAAATTTAAAGATGCATACTTCTTTCCTTCAGGTGTTGTAAATTCCTTCCATACAGTGGATGCATCAGCCCTCTGCAGAAAGAGATTTTAGAAACTGTAAAATCATGCATAGATACGATAGATTTGATCTTAATCTAAAAACGCAAAAAAGGATTATCAGGAGATTCTTAATCCAACGAGCATAATAAATTAGCAAATTAACCCCACACTGTCTACAAAGTTGACACCTAAAGATTTACACAAAAAGAAATGAGAAACAGAAAAGCTTCGGTAGCCTGTTTCAATAAAGTGAAAGCTGCTTTCAGATGAGCACGTAGCAGTCGTTATATATATATCTCCACAGTTACCATGGAGTTTCCAAATAAGTGGAAAATTAATGCAAATTAAACAACGTTTTTCCAGACAAAGCATGCAACCATTTACATCACTAGTGAAGTGGCACGCCAACTAAAAGTCTGGTAAGCTTAAACAACCAGTAAAATGAAAAGCATCTTAGAAGACAGACTACTTTGTAAGTATTACCTCAAGTGGTGTCATCAGTTCAAGAGGTTTTTCCCAATTTGATTGTTTCGTCCGCTTGTTATAATAATATCTAGAAAAGATAGGTATATATCAGATAAGCCAATTCATAGACAACTGCATGGGAAAAACAAAAACAAAAAAAAGGAAGCATGGAAGACCTTATGAAAGGTACAAAAAGTGAGAAGCTTACAAACAATTTCTAACTAAAAATAATCAATTTCAAATTGGAACTGCATGAACACAAATCTACAGTACAGAGAGTGACATGTAGGAAGATATTTGGCCTAAATCTGAAACATTAGTTGAGTAACATACTTTCTCCCATCAACAGATGTATGCTCCTGCCAGTCAGATGCAGATTGCGGAGTCAAGTTTCCCTGTTAACAAAATCCAACAAGCACATTTAGCTACAATTGCATAAGAGTGCATACATAAAGACTAGACAATGAGTTTGATAAGAGTTCATCAACTATGCCACATCAGCTAGTTAGTAATTGAGTATAAATAGGACAAGGTTCTGATGTGTAGAGGTATCAAGTACTTTGTGGTTTGCTAGGGACTTCTTGAGGCTTCAAAGAGTTTTACGGTTCTCAAGAACAAAACCTTAAGTCTTCAAACCTAATCAGAGTTTGACCTAAGTAAAGATCCAGAGGAAGTGCATGATATTACTAAGTCTAAATAAGTCGGAGTCTATATACTAAACTTTGCTAATAAGCTGAGGAACACTCGATTCAGATAAAAATACTATCCCAAAATAATACAGAGAAAAAGATTGAAATGCTATACATGACAGAAGACATATGTGGGTTGTCACAATTTATATGATAATACAACTCAACATGATATGATTCGCATTTTAGTAAGAGATGGTTTCATGATTAATAGTAGATATAGGCATCAATACAAGTCACCAAAACATATTTGTGATCAGTAATCGTAATCACTTACTGGGTCTGTGGAAACTGCGACTGGTGTTTGTTGCCCAGTCTGCTGCACAGAAGAAACAAGTGAGGTACTTTGATTTACAGGAACAGGCCAAGTGTTTGCTGCTGGAGGGACGCCGGCTACATGCATCTGAGAATTTGGTTGGACCAAGGATGTTGGTTGTTGCTGAGGATAAGATGATGGTACAAACTGCAGAAACAAAAATCCAGCAAAGTGAAAACGAATCATATATAAAGGTCATTCAAAAAAAATATATAAGAAAAGCAGAAGCCTCACAGTATATGGAGAAGAAAATGGAGGTCCAGATGTAGCAAAGCCCGTCATTTGAGGTGCATTTGGCTGTGGTTGAGTAGATCCAGAAGTGAGAATCTTGTTCGTTTGAATATACGGAACTAATACAGCCTGTGAGGATGATGTAATATGCACAGGCTGGCCTGGTCTCACAGGAAAGAGCTGCTGCTGCTGTATCGGCTGAGAATACTGCGGAGGCTGACTTTGAACATTTGGAGGTACATGTCCATAAGGGTGAAAAGGTTGTGAAGCTGCAGGAACAAAATGCTGACCCTGCTGCCCAGGAGCCATCGGCCGAAACTGCTGGAGAAAGGTCTCATAAGCACATCCGATAGATCACAAACTAGTGGAAAACTAAAGTAGAGGAAGAGACTGACTAACTATTACTATAAATCATACACTAAAACAAAACTTTCACCAAATAGCAGCCCCATAGAAACTTTCACCTTTCACTACATCAAATAGCTTAGAAACCGACAACTATTGAATGTTCGATTCAAACAGTAAGGCGCGAGAACATATCAATTGAGTTAAAAAAGCTACAAGCTATTAAACAATGAAAGAGACTAAAATCAAAGAACCCTGATACGTTTGAGCTTGATCAACTATACTTGCCTAAGTCTCGAGTTAAAGTTGAAGAGCGTAGTATTAAAACCTTTGGCTAAATAGAATTACCTAGAACATATCAATTGAGTGACTTCGAATTCCATGGAAGCATGAAACGAACTAAAAGAAAGCAAGTTTATGCATTATCGAACCTGGGCACCAGAAGACTGCGGAGGATTATTCGCCATCTTCACACAAAATAAAGCTTCCTCTCAAATTCGCGGCTTAATCTGAAGAGCTAAACATTTCAACGTCGAGCTCAATTCTCGTTTCAGAACAAAAATTCAAAGTTTGCGAACAGGGATGGAGATAGTAATGGCAAAAACCTAACTAGTATAGCACTAAAGACGAAAGCACAAACCAGTTCCGATGAGGAATCAGAGAGAATCGAGGACGACGACGAAGTCTCACCAGATGGAGGTTTTACTAAGTTTATGAACCCTAATCGAAAACTTAACGACCCAAACTCCGACGAATTGCAAAAACAAATAATTCTCGACGAACACACGAGTGACGAGTCAGTCGACAGATGTGTCTTGGCTTTTAAAACAACAAGAAGTTCACATTGTCAAAATAAAAACGGCATGTAGTTCTGATGTATCCAAATTGCCCATTTTTTTTTGGGTCATCAACTTTCAAATGTTACTACTTGGTACAATGGTCATGAATAAAGCCAGATCAACAATAAAAATGATAAAACAAATAGTATTTTCATTATCTTGAAATGTGAAAGCTCTTGCTAATTGATTTGCAACTCTACTTGCTTTCCTTAGTATCCATCCATTGAAACTTGGCTTCTTCAAATATGGCTTTCCAATCAGATCTAATTATGAACTCTGAGATTCTTAACAAAACCATTTATACAAGAACTTGTCAATTTCACATTAACACAAGTAAAACATATGCCAGTTATTTTCGAAAATAAAATTTACTAACTTAGTATCCTAAATTTCTTTGAGCAGCAAGTAACTCAAGGTTGACAAATTCGTCACCTGCGTTCTCCTCAGATTCAAGGCTCAAAGTTTTGATGAAAAGGAAAGTTGCGTAAATATCATAAGAACAGCAAATCTTTGAGCAACTCACAATCTTAATACGAAACGAAACTATCTTCCTAAATATCCAACATTTTTTCATGCGATAATAAATAAACCTAAGTTGATAGTGACTTTCAAGCACGCCTTCTTGTTTACCAAGTGATCAGCCTTTTTGGACACCTGATCATTCCTCGAACATGGTCCAACTCGAAATGTGCTTTGGAAAAATCTGTGCTTGAAAAGAATGGCCGTAGATCTGCAATGTCGTATTCCTTGGCCTGCATATGTAGACATAAGAGTTATGAAAAAGAATAAAGAAGCATACTTCTAACTTTAGCCTAACCATATAACAACTTACCTTTGTCTGCAGTTCCTCTATCTTAACCTCGATCGTAGGTAGTCCTGAGTTTGATCCCGAAATGATTTCTTCAAACTTCAAGGCATTCTTAACGAGCTCTTTGAGAAGAACGAGCAGCAATGAGTTGAAGTCCTTCTTATAGGTAATGTATCGTTTGAAACTCTGCACAGGAATAACCAAGTTTTCATCAATTCAGACATCAGAATTCCATAGATACAAGCTCACCGAACAACTGAATGGAAAGTTCTTTTATACCTCTCTTAGAGTTCTCTGGACTCCAAATTTCTGGGTTGATATGAAAGAGTCAAGCAGGACTCGAATGGCCATATTAACATCCTCTTCTGTGACATACTGCCTCAGGTGCATCCTAGCATGTGCTTCAGACATTCGGATCATGGACTCGAGGTGTCTTGTCGCGATAGAAACTCCTTGTCCGTTCTGAACAATGGATTAACCAGGTCAAGATATTGTAATATAGTAATTGAGAAAGACAATAACCCAGCAGTACAATAAAAATCAAGAACTGAAACCTACCATTGATTCTCGCCTAAGATTAGCATAAACAGTCTCTAACTTCTTAGCATCTAGTTCACCCAGTTTTGGGAATACATACAACTTCGAGTATGTTAAGTATTTCTTCAGCAGATTCTGGGGAAGAACCTGTATATAGAATAACATTTCGATGACGATATGAAAACATGGAAACTTCAAAGCAGCAGCTACACTAGAAAATCACAAACCTCGGGATCAGTAGAACCGCTAGATCCCTGAATGCCATCTTCAGGCTCGCTATCATCCATCTTACCACCTTTGGGTTGTGATTTGAAATGACTATTGACAACAAATTCAGCAAGCATTTCATCTGTAACAGGATCAACCACATCCTGCAGCCATATAATTGGTTTAAGTCATGTCAATAACAAATCAGTGATACGATCGCGAGAACGGGCAGAATAGGTTTAGAAAAATACCTTGACAACACACAAAATATCAAAACGAGAAAGGATCGGATCTGTCAACTCAACATTTTGTGCAAATGATTTTGATGAATCATATCTGAAATTGCAATGGCACAAACATATTAGCAAGATCAAAATTACAGATTATAGGTCAGTGGATTGGGGCCTTAGTTACTCATGTACCTTCCACCAACTGGATTAGCTGCGGCAATAACAGAGCAACGAGCTTGAAGAGAAGTGACTATCCCAGCCTTGGATATACTAATACTCTGCTGTTCCATGGCTTCGTGGATACTCACCCTGGTTACAAAACTTTATTGTCAGCACCATTATTTCCAGATAGTTGATTATCATTAGTTACATTTTGTTACCTGTCCTGGTCGTTCATCTTGTCAAACTCATCGATAAGACAAATTCCTCGGTCAGCAAGTACAAGAGCCCCTCCTTCAAGCGTCCACTCCCTTGTAACTGGATCCTTGTGTACTGCTGCAGTTAGACCAACAGCAGAAGCTCCCTTTCCAGTCGTGTACACAGCTCTTTGACCAGTTTTTTCAACATACCTAGAAGAAACTTTTATGCAGTTAATGAAAATATTCACCACAGGAATTAATGAACTCAGCTGGCCAAGATAGTTTTCTTACTTCAGAAATTGTGATTTTGCTGTTCCTGGATCACCTAGTAGAAGTACATTAATATCTCCACGCAATCTGTGTTTCCCTTTAATGTTTTTCTCTTGACCTCCAAACATAGCAAGAGCAAGAGCTGTTTTGATATCTTCATGGCCATATATTGATGGAGCAATCGACTTAATGATCTGAAAGAGAAATTGAAATAATGTTAACAGGGATGAACTTTGAAGCAATTCAAAGGATTTATGAGGAGGATTTATATCCAACTTACACGTTCAACTATACGTGGGTCCTTGGATAGCTCTTCGATTTGTGTCTTGTCTTCCTGGGTTAGCTTGTATGCAGAGAAGAGGTCTTGCTTCTTTGTAACATAGTTAGCTTCCACCACAGTGGCAAAGACAGGAAACCCATTCTTTGTGTTCAAAGATAAATCAAAATTGTTGGTATATATGCCAGTCACCTCCTGCAAGACATCCCATCCAAGATAAAATCAGTCATCTAGCGTATATAGATGTGCAAGTATTATACAAGATTAATGTATGATGAACCTACAATTTCTTCTCCAGGACGAGCGCAATCAATAAGGTCATTCAACAGGATAACTTCCTTGTGTCTTGGAAGTCGTCCAGCAGGCACTGTTCCTGGACTCTCTTGGATTGTAAGCTTCTGATAGTTCCTGTATATTGTCTGAAAGATAGTATTTAACAGTGTAATCAGTTTCTCATTTCGATCTATAGCTTAAATTTGAAGTCCATTCACTTAAAAAAGAAAATGATAGAGACAACATAGAATCTTACCTGTTCGACATTAACAGTAAACGGTCCTTTCGACTGGCACTCAGAACAAGAACCGACCTTGACTTCTGAATAAGAATTTTGGAAGAAAGGCCCCAAAATTGCTCCACACTTGTTACAATCATATTTCACTTGCTGCAGCTGAGGAAAGACCCCAGAACGCCTAGTGACAACTCCACCAATACGGATCATGGTGTTAAGATGAATCTGCCTGATAAGTTAGAAACAATAAGGTTAGGTTGAAATCTTGAAAAGGAATACAAAGTCAGTCACTATCCATGAATTCAGCCAAATTATTACCTTATGTTCCGAATCTGATCATTAACTGGTAGATTGGTAACACGAACATATATCTTCGTGTGAATATTCTTGTAGTTTGGATGCAGATCAAAGATGACCTTTTCACTAACTTCCTCCATGACTTCAAGAACAGGTTGTGGAGCATCCGCAAGCCAAATTGCAATATTCGGGTGGACGTGTATGAATTCTTTATAATCAATCTCTAGACTGCACTTATTAGCTGCAAATAAGCCATACACCGATGAAATATAAAACAGTTCAGAGAGCTAACAATTGCAAATTTACAAGTAAAGAACTTATAGCGCAAACAGTACCTGAAACCATTTCGTTTATTAAACGAACATATTCAATATCTCCATTCTCATTCTTCGGTTTCACATATGTAAGCAAAAAGTCTTTGAACTTCTTCGCGATAAATCGTCTCACTTCATCTCTCATAACCCATTCCCTCAAAGTTCCTTGAATCCTATACATCTCAAACTCTGCTTCATCTTCATTATCATCCTATATTAAGAAATTCACCAACCATTAGACACTAGTACGGATACACCTAGCACCATGAAGTAAAAAGATCCACATTCATACCTCATCTTGATAATCATCAGTTTGATCAGTCATAGAGATATCTGGCTGTGACCCTCCTGGAGAACTTGGAGGATTACCATCAGGATCACCACCATTACCTCTCGGTGGAACCGTAGTTCGAGACCTCTTCGAAGGTCTATAGTTCCAATCATCTGAATCTGTACACAAAACAACCCTACTCAAATTACATACCTAAATCTAAATTCGTCAAAATCAGTGAACATTTAGGGTTTCCAATTTCATCAAATTCCAATTAGGGGTTTAATAATTACCGTTATCATGAAGAAGATGAGGAAGCTTGCGATTCGCGGCTCGAGTCTCTCGAGCATCGAGTACAGCCTCAGCAGCACGACGGTCAAGCATAACCTGACCTAAATCTCTTTCATCATCAACGGAATCATCTAATCCATTAGACTCATACTGATCATTCTCATCCATCTTCCGATAATCGTCCATGTAATTCTCGGGGAAGAGATCTTCTCCGTCTTCTTCTTCTTCTTCCTCCGCTTCCTCAGGCTCATCTCTAATGATTTGGGTATCTACGGCGGCTTCTTCATCGGAGAAATTCTCGGAGTTTTGGCTTGTACTGATTGGTAACTGATCTGTGTTGAATCCAGCGGAAGAAGGTGAAGCTGGTGACGATGGCTCGTTATCGGAATTTTCTCCCGCCATTTCTCTATCTCTCTCTCTCTCTCTCTGTATTGTTGTTTCCGGCGACGGAATCAGGGCACAATAAACTCGTTTATTGGGTTTTCTCGTCGATTAGGCGGGAAATATTGGCGCCAATTTGGCATATGCATCGTATGGGCTTTTATTAATTCGGCCCAAGTGTTTAAATCTAAGCAATTATCTTTTTTATTTATAATAGCTTTATGGCCCATACACATATCAAATTTTGTTCATGTTTAACCCAAAAAAAAAAATATACTATGTCTGATAGTTATGAAATTTTATTTTAGTTTGACATTTCTATAGGATGTAAAAGTAATTTTTTTTTGGCAATATGTAATGCTAAATTAATAAAATCTGACTAACCGAAGGAAAATAGTTTTTGTGTTTGTCTTTTCCAGACTTATTGAATATAGAAGCAAAATAATAATAAAGTATATATATAACTTGAGTTAGATTTGATTTTTTTTTTTTTAAGACTAGAGTGAGATTAGATATTTTTACTTATTCATTTGAAATTCACTCTCTTCACATCCATTTTGTCACCTAGTTCTGAGTTTTAGTATTATTTTCTTTAGATCTTCTTTAGAACACCACCAACCATTATTGTGCAGTTGTAATGAACCTTAGATTATGTTAGCGCTTATGATCTCTGAGCATTATGTTAGCGGTTATGATCTCTGAGCTTTTGTCTTTATGTTGATTAGAAGTTAACCATTTTCTCTAGCTTTTCTTAATGTTGAGCAAAATGGTGTAGTAGCTTCTTTTTTTTTTTTTTTTGAAACGATATAATGGTGTAATAGTTAAAGCGGGATTAATTAGATTTCCTTTCGTTAATAGAGCCAAACAAAAATATGTTTGATTTAAAGTGAAACTAGATCTTGACCCGCACGTACGTGCGGGGTTTCATATGTTTAAAAAATTTCTAACAAATTTTAATTTAATATAGATTATTTTTTTGTTTTTATGATATATATTGTAGTGTATTAGATCTTAATCCGCACGTACGTGCATAGATATTTGTATAGAAATTGTTTCATAGATTTGAAAAATATATAATATTTTGTTGTGTTAGTGAACTTCGTAATAGTACAGATATCAGAAAGTTAGAGTAATGAATGAAATTGAGTTGCGCTAGTGCATAGTTATATTTTAAAATCCGGATCCACACATACGTGCAAAATTATATTTAAGATATAATTTAATTACAAAAGTTAAGTGATGTTACGCTTTTATTTTCTAAACTAATCAAAACATTTCTAATAGTTTGATTACGGATATTAAATAAGATATGGATTCGGTTTTAGTTTGGGTTATTTCATGTATATTAGCTAGGCATAACTACTTTGGAACGGGAAACCCATTCCGTCCTGTATCTGTTATAAATTCTTTGTCCCATAACCCGTCTCGTATACGTGAAATAAAAATAAAACACAAAATATTTCGAAATTAATATGTACAATTTATTGTTTAGATCTTTCAGAAATTTACTATAATCGAAGGCCATAATGATAATTATATTAAAATTTATTATTATTTGAGTTTATTTCATAGTAAATATAGATATTTGTTAATATCTAATCTCGTTTTTAGAACTTGTGAAATAAAATTTCGTTTTATATTTTAAAAAATTTGAAAATATTATAACAAAATTGAATCTTAAAAATATATGTATTTAATTTCATACGAAATTTCAAATTCAATCTTAAAATTCTCCATTGATAAAACTTTTTAAACGATAGTATTTTTAATTTTGAATTAAAATGATATTATTTTTGTTTTTATTTTTGATATAGAATAGTCTATTTGGGTTGGTTTAAATAAAATTTTAGTAGGATAGCAAATCTTAGTTTTTTTAATTCTCATTGGTTAAACTTTTTTAGAAATTAATTTCAAATTTTCGTCCATAATTAATAAGAAAGAGAAAGTGAGTTTAATTTTTTGGAAACTAATAATTACTTAATAGAATTTTATGATTTTTATTTAAATATATTTAAAAACACTAAAAACTAATGGTATCTTATGTAATATTTTACCTTTCATAAGGTTATTTAATATGTAGTGATTCCCAATTAATAGTATAGATGGAAAATTAATTTCTTAATTATGTTTTATAATTATTTGTATATTACAGTTTTTTATTGGTTGAATAGCGTTTATAGTGATGTTAAAATGGGCTCGAAGTCCGTATGCATAAACAAGCTTTTCAATAAAAAGTTTAAATTTTCTGTTTAAAAATCTATCTATATATACATTTTTTAAGTACAAATATGAAATGTGGAAGCCCCCTTGGCCCATTGGTTGAACACAGGTTAATTAATGCTTCTACACCCAGAGGTCTAGGGTTCGAGTCCCAGATACTACGATTTATTACGCAGAGAGAAGTGTCCATCAAGAGCATAAAGAAGGAGGTGAAGGAGGTGAGTATAAAGAAGAAGGTGAAGAAGGTGTCGTCTGTCGTGAATCTAATAAGGGTCGGAAGGAATTGTCCGTTGTAGAATCGCCTATGTAACAGTTCTAATAATTTGCAATAAATAATAAATCCAGACGTTAAAAAAAAAGTACAAATATGAAATAAATCCTGAAGTTGATATTTATATACAAGATAATGCCATTGTCATAAATATTTATCTATTAATCAATATTACAAATTATTTTCGAAAAAATCTTTTAGAAACTGTGGCTTCCAAATATGGTAACAAATTGATTCTGTTTATACATTCGATTAATTGCTAATTTTTTAAAACCTCTCTACCTAATTTTAACATTAATATATGATAATTCATTACTTTTCTATGATCTTATATTTAATTTATTTTTAATTTATATAAAATACATATAATTAATAAACTAACAGATTTTTTCTGCATATAATGTGATTCAAATTTTTAAAAACGCACTTATATTACTCAATCGATGAAGAAAAATAGGTGTACAATGTCCTACATTGTTTAAAAAATTGGGCAATGGTTCAGAGTCATACTATAAAAAATGCCAAAATAATTCTAAATACAAATGAGCACGAAGCTTGATTTATCAAGCGTCCAAAATTAAAAGTGTTATCCGGTTTACTCCGGTTCTTTATTTCATAGAATTGAAATTTTTAAAAAGTTTCAAAATATTATAAATATTTAAACTTTATTAAAAAGTAAATATTAATAATTATTTAAACTTTTTATAAAGTTAAACTTTATAAAAATTTTAAATATTTATAAAACTAAAACTTTTATGAAGTTTCAAATATTTTAAATATTTGAACTTTATAAGAATTTATAAGAAGTTTAAATATTATAAATATTTATAAATATTTAAACTTTATAAAACGTTTACAGTATTTATAATATTTAAGTTCTATAAAAGTTTATAATATTTGAACTCTATAAAAGTTATATATATATATATATGTATATATATATCTTTTAAATCAAAATATTATTAAAAAGAAAAACAAAAAAATACTGTTTAATTTCACGGGACGGGGTTATATGGTGGGACGAGTTTGGATCGATATTAATACGGGACGGTATAAAACGGGTGAAATATTAATAAAACAAATATAACTTAAAATTTAAAGTTTTTAGTTTAAAAAATCTATCCGCAATGTAGCGCAGGATAAAAATTTTAGATACAAAATAAAATCCAATAAATTATAAATTATTATATAAAATACAATTTGTCCCGCGGTGTACCGCGGGTTAAATCCTAGTCTATCTTATTATATAAAGTATGGTTTTCAAAGTTAGTAACTCATAGGATCGTGCCACGTGTCAAATTTATCGATCTCAAATTTTGACACTTGTTAAACAAAAATTTCCTTTTATTTATTTAAAAAAAATATATAAGGAAACTATACGCACATGTCAAATTTATTAACATGTAAAACAAAAAAAAATATTTGTTTAGAAAAAAATTTATAAAGAAATTATACGTATATATCTTATTTAAAACAATACTAAAAATCTAAAGAAGATAAATATAAGGAAACTAGATGTATCTTATGAAATAAAAATAGAAATTTAAGAAAAACATTATAAGGCAACTATACATACATATCTTATAAAAAACAATTTTTAAAAGAGTATTTACACTAGATACCCTGAGACCACAAAGTATTTAAGTCAAAGGAGTAGTGGCATTTTCGTAAATAATTTGTGTGTTTTGGTTTGTCATGAAAAGACCATTATACCCCTATGCTTGTAGAGTCTAGCAGTTGCACCCAGACATAATTGCGAAACGAAACCCTCGGCTTATGTGTCGTTTGATATTTGTTAAAAGCGACAGTTTCGCTTTTGCATTTATTGATTTCGTTGCTTTTCTCTTTGTTGAAATTTGAATTCTCCGTTCTTCTCCCTATGTCGAAACCGAAGGCGAGAATCTTTAAGTCCGGCGATTTGAATAGTGAGGTTCGATGGAAAACCTGCCGGAAAGAATCTTTAAGTCCGGCGAAGAGCCAGACGGCGATAGGGTTCACAAGTACTTCCAACTCCAATACCTAAACGATTTATCGGAGCATCGGGAGGCAGACGAAATTTCGAAGATCAGAGGCTCGCGGCTGGGCAAATTGTTCGATATCGGGAAAAAGTTTTCTTTTTCCAACAAACTCTGTTTGTTTTTGCTTACAAGGCAGTTAGCAATCCAGAAAAAGCATGAGATTTGGTTTGTATTCGCGGGTAAGCCGATTAGGTTTGGTCTTAGTGAGTTTGCATCAGTGACGGGTTTACGGTGCGATCCAATTTCAATTGGAAAGGCCGATGGAAAAAAGAAGGTGAGTAAGAACAAGATAAAGAAGAAGTCAATTGAAGCCCCTTACTGGTTCACTTTGTTCGCGAGGAATGAAGACGTGACACCGGAGATTTTAATTAAACAGCTTAAATCTGGCGGTGTCCGTGACCCCGACACCCGATTGAAATATGCTTTATTGGTTCTGATTGATGGTGTTTTGTGCCCTCGATCTTTGAATATGAAGATCCAAGAAGAAACCGTAGAAGTGTTGAGGGACGTTGACAAATTTCTTAATTTCTTAATCATCCTTGGGGCAGGATATCGTTTGATATGACTATGTCATGTATCAAGTCTCGGAAAGCTTATGGGCTTGCCCAAACAAGCTTTGCTGTTCAAGGTTTTGTGCATGCGTTGCAACTAGTTCTTTTAGAGGCTGTCCCTGACATTGAGAAGAGCATGCCGGTTGATACTCCTGTCTTCGTTGGCGAGGATTCCGAAGAAGAAGTTGTAGTGGTTGGTGCTGTGGCATTGGCAAAGTTAAAATTGGAGCCAATTTGGGTGATAGATAGTCAAGCAGAGGTTAGTTATTCAGTTCAATGTCACCACATGTTTAGTTTTATCGAGGCATTATTTTTTGTAGCCTGCTATAGTAGTTAATAGATGTTACTGGTTGTTTGCAGGTTTCTGTTGAATCTATTATTCCTCTTGATGATGCTGTTATTGGAGACGATTTGTCTTGGTCTGACGAGGTGGAAGATGTGAAAGTTGATAATTTGGTTAGGTTAGTTCAAGAAGGCCACCAATGGTCTGGTGATGAATTTGGAGGTGGTGTGGTTGCGTCTGCGCTTCCTATAGAACCTAAAGAAAAAGCAGAAGGGAAAAAAGTTGTAAAGTCTAGGAAGAGGAAGAAGTCTCCTGTTTGTGGCAGCAGTAGTGATGGTAGCCAGCCTGTACCATTTTTTGAATCCCAAATGGAGTGGTTAGCAAAGCAAATTAGTTCGTAATTTTCTTTAGCTGTTAGTAGCATGGAGGATCGCCTGGTGTCTCGTTTAAAAGGGAAAAGTTGAGGTGGGCCTGTTGGTGGTAAGATTGTTGCTCCTAAAGCTGTTGCTCCTTTTTCCAAGGGTAAGGTCAAACCCACTAGCCGTGGCAAAAAGGCAGTTCTACCCAAGCGGAAACGGATGCGTGTTGATGGAAGGTTGAGACAGATTAGAGATGATGATGAGACTGAAACGGCTACTGTCCCAGTAGGGGATGAGTCTGAAACGGTTGGTGGCAAAGGAGGGGAGGAAGGAGGGGAGGAAGGAGGGGAGGATGTTAGAATGGGTACTCAAGAAGGAGAGGCTTCTGTTACTATGGAGGATGTAGAGACTGAAGAAAGAGGTTGCAAAGAAGGGGAGGATGTTAGAACGGCTAGTCAACAAGGAGATGCTGAGGAACATCTCGATTTACATCCGGATGATACTGTTAAATTTGTGCTTGATTCTCTGAACCGTGGTAGAGCGGAGGTTAGTTATTCACTAAAATGTCAACACATGTGTACATGTATCGGGGCATTCTTGTTCATACCATGATATGGTAGTTAATAGTGTTTTGTTTGTTAGCAGGTCTCTGAGAATTTAGGTCCTGATTTTGAGCAGGAGGATCCTGCTGTTCTTAGTGGGGATGGTCTTAAGGACCAGGATGATGCTGCCAAAAGTGGGGATGGTCTTAAGGACCAGGATGATGCTGCCAAAAGTGGGGATGGTCTTGAGGACCAGGGTGTTGCTGCCAAAAGTGGGGATGGTCTTGAGGACCAGGATGTTGCTGCCAAAAGTGTGAATGATGACGCTGAATGTCAGGGGAAGGAATCTGCTGAGAGTGGAAGTCTTGCTCTCTTTCCTACTTGGGCTTCTGTTGGTTCAGAGGAAAATGTGTCAGGGGAAGGGGATGCTAGTGATAAGAAGTGGTTGGAATTTGAGAAGTATTTAGCGGATAATGGGTAATGTGTCTATCTATGTTTGGTTATGTCTAGGTATTCGTAAACATAGATGGATATTATTTTTAATATCTTAACATATTGATGTGGACCTTGTCAGGAAATTGTTTTTTGGGGGGAGCTTATTCCTCGTAACCAAGGACGTGGAGGAGATTGTTGGACTACAAGTTGTTATGGGACCATGGGTTAGTATCTAAACTTCGTTTTCTAATTAATGTTGTTTCATATCATGTGTAAACCTTGTGCTCTCTTGTTTGTAGATGATGGATGCATTTATCAAGTATTTCCGTGATAAGTGGGCAAACTTAGAGGTTGGCTTAAATGAACGCAGGGTGGTTTTTCAGGGGACAAAATTTGCTTCCCTTGTCCTTGCTCATCGACTCAAATTTGAAAAATCTGTTAAGAAGAAGTATGTATTCGACCAAGATTTGATGTCGTGCTTCCCTCTGAACTTTGATTCACTCTACTTCCCATTCAACTTTGACAAACAACACTGGGTAGGGATGTGCCTTGATATCAGGGGGAAATATCTCTATGTGTTTGATTGCAACCAGAAGGTGCGTCGGGACACTAGTCTCCGGAAAGAAATAGAACCTTTGTTGGAGATGCTCCCTTTCGTTGTTCGCCAAGTATCGCCTCAGCTGATGAAAGCAGTCTCCAGTGACCCATTCATCCTAAGCAGAGACTCACTTCTTCCGACTTGTCTAAACCCTTCGGAGAGTGGCCTTATGTCTGTTTTGTTCATACAGAGGCATGCAGTAGGTTGGCTTCAAGCGGCTAGAGAGGTTAGGACTGAGGACTTGGCTGTTCAAGCGAAGCAATTGCTGATTGAGATGTATGATGTGTATGCTGAGAAGTAAATTGTTGGTTTAGGATTTGTCCTTATTTTTATTAGAGATTCTAATTGTCTGTCTTAGGATTTGTTACTGAATAATTGAGGTTTATTTAATAATTTAGCATGGTACGCCAGAGTTTAACGCGGGATTTATATTTGTTACTAGTTATGAACGTATGTATCTAGATTTGGAAAATGTTCATATTAACTGGAAAACATAACTCTTCTATTACTCTTTGAAATTTGCTTTAAGATTCTCATTTCATTTAATAATTTATCATGATACGCGAGATTGTAACGCGGGATTTTTCTTTGTTTCTAGTTATGATCGTATGTATCTAGAGTTAGAAAATGTTCATATCGACTGGAAAACAGAACAATGCATTTACTCTTTCAACTTTGCTTCAAAATCTCATTTCATTTTGTTCATTACAAAGTTAGACAAAACACAAAAAAAAAAAAAAAAGAGAAAACACCAAACTACCTAACTACACTAGTAACCAAGAACAAGTTTCTGGTTTTTGGTCTTACGGAACATTAAGATAACAATTACAATGATTGTTATACAAAGGCTCACCAAGCACAATTTGGTCAACAATTTCCATCTCTGAAATTCCTTTTTGCTCAAAATTCCATCTTCCTTCAATTCGTTCATCAAACTCTTTAACTTTGCAATCTCCAATGCTACCTCAGATTTAGCATTGTTTACCTCGCTATCAATGATGGAAATCTTCGGTATAACATCTAAAACCTCCTCGTACACACAATCTTCGACCCATTTAAACAAATGGTCCTGCAATTACATCGAAAATCATTTTCTGACCAAACACAAACATTTAATAACAATTATACTTACATCTTGATTGGTTGGACAACGGAAGAAAGGTCTTCCTGGGTTCTTCTTCGTGCTTGATGTATAGATGACGAGCTCTCGCCCGCAGTGACAGTTCGTAGGAAACCCTCGATCTTGAACACTCGAACTCCCAGAATTACAACTCATAACTATAGAAGAGGGTGATTTAGAGTTGAACGGCAGAGAATTTATTTTTAGGGTTTACGTTTTGATTTGGGGATTTCTTAGGATTAGGGATTTGAGAATCGAATTGGATATTTTTAGGAGTTTAGAGTAAGTTGCAAACGACGTCGTCTTTGTTATTCCCTTTAATGTCACTTGATATTTGAAATATTTTAAACATATTTATTTATATCATGGCACAAGGATATATCGGCGTACAAGTTGAGATAGCGCACATATAAGTTTAGAAAACAAATACAAGTAGCATCTCTCGCACACATTTATTAATATCATGCCACAAGTAGCATTCCTCGCACCTTGCTTCGATGGTGTGAATTTCAGAACAACCTGGTATTTCTGTGTACCATGAATTGGCGTATGAGTTAAGGTGGAGGCTTCCCATTTGTTTCATTTTCGCAAATATTGAGTCGCCCATGGCTAGGACTGATCCCCAATCTTTTTTGTATAGTTTTGATGCGTATAAATTGGCAACCTCTTCCTCTCCTGAACAAATGGACAAGACTGCCATAAGGAATGTTGATTCCTCAACGTGATTTAGAGCTTTAAAGATGTGTTCCCGGGCTGCCTTAATATCAGCTTCCCAACACGCAATCCGGAGGCCCTCTAAATAGTGTGCTTCTGGTTGTCCTTGGGCCAGCGCAACCTCGAACTCGTTGCGGAGAATTCCACCTTTCTTCATCAAGGATGGTTGGTCTAGATATTTCCTCATCATCTTTGTTTTTTGTTTAGGTATATTTGGATGTTTAGTTCTTCGAAATGGACCCATTTATATATTGCAATGGGTTAGGTAGATAGTAATGCAAAGGGGTAGGTAGGAAATGATGGGAAACGTGTGAAGTAGCTTTAATTTCGGTTCTAACATGTGTCATTCCTATATTTGTGTCATTCCAATAGGTAGATAGTAATGCAATTGGTTAGGTATGAAATTACGGGAAACGTGGTAGGTAGCTTTAATTTCGGTTGTAACTTGTGTCATTCCAATATTTGTTTTGTGGTCAAATCGAATTGATAACTAAATAGATAGCCGGATATGTATTTTGTTATCCCGACACAAACCATAAAGGCTTCGATATGTAAAATGATAGAGGGACATTAACAGGTAAATAGCCGCTAAACCAAGTCATTATAAAAGTTATTTTACATTGTTTCCCTTGCTAAGAGAGGGGTAGGTCATAATATATTACAAGTACGAATGGGGTTGCGAACCCCCAAAAAACAAGAGTCAGTTACATCCTTTTTTAGTCACCAAAGTCGTTCGACCACAATCCGAACAGATAATCCCAAAAGACGCGTTCTTCATTCGTACTTTAGTCCCCGCAGTGTAGAGCTATGCCAAAATGTGCAAGGTAGACTTGGTTTTTTATCTACATGCCTCCTGCATAATGAAAAAAAAAAATTTGGTGACTAAAGTACCGGGGTAACAACATCCATATCCGGATATAAGGTGTTCAATATGAATTTTTCTGAATATGTTGAGTCTTTGTGGGACTTACTATATGGGCATGCGGCAAGTGGCCCTGTTGTGCCCCTTAGTCTTGCATCTTGAGCAAACATTATGTCCTCGCATCCCTTTCTACAGAACAATATAGATGGATACATAACTATATACCGTGCTATATAGAGATGTATCGAATACATGTTTGTATAGCTGAATGTTGCGAGAGAGGTGTTTCTTACCTGAAACTCTCCGCGTGAGAAGAAGCGTTTTTTCTTTGGCCTCCCTGGTGCGCGCTTCGTGTGGGGTGGCAGCAAGTTCATTGAAGCAATATCCTCTGGGAGTTCGTGAAGACTAGAGAGTGCCGGAACGGGATTGATGGAATCCTTGTAAGCCATCACCTAATAACATGAGGTATAATGTACATCAACGAGAGAATGCATCGGAACCTGACATATAGAAGAGTTATTTCTACTTATAGCACGCTATACGTATATATATCGACATATAAATACCTATAACCAGATATACGTATTTATTAATAACTATATATCGGAACCTGATCAACGATAGCAGCAGCAAGGGCATGGGGACAAGGGATTTTAAGAAAATTGAATTCCCTGCAAGTGCATGATCTCATAGCTAGCTGGACATGGTATCCCCCCCTTTGCCCCTCCGACAACATCGTATTCCCCCGTGTTAACCTTCCTCACAGCGAATCCCCCAGATTTCTCAAAGTTTTCTTGTAAGATTTCTCTTACCTTTGGTGTCAGCATAGTAGCCTCCTGTTTTGCAGTCTCCCGACGTAGTGCGAACCAAGTCATGAGAGTTTTACGCACAAACTCAACGATGTAGACAATTGGAAACTCTCGAGCTTCTTTGAGAACGGCATTGAGAGACTCAGCCACATTACTTGTCATCACATTATAGCGTTCTCCAACGAAGTAGGATCTTGCCCAGTGGCCAAACTCGATTGACTTGAGATATGCTCCACATTCAGGGGATACCCGGCAAATCTCTCCAAACACTAGGTGGAAATCCGTAATACGGTATGCCCGTGCGGCCCTCGACACCAAGAAAGAAAGAGTCTTCGCCTTGAAAATGCTTGAGATATTACGTTGCAAGTAGACTACGCATGCCGCGTGTGCTGCATTTGGGAAAACCTAGGACATAAACAAAAGATAATAGCCATGTTAGCAAGGTATATAGGGTTATCGCTTGCTATTTTTCCATATATTATGATATACCCAGAAATGTCGTATACCTTCCTAAGAGACGAGTAGATGGAAGAATGCCTGTCTGAGACGAAAGTAACAGTTGGATCATTGGGTAATATTTGCCTTAACATTGTCACGAACCACTCCCAAGCCCTATCGTTTTCACTGTCGACGATTCCAAAAGCCACCGGGAAAATTTGAAAGTTTCCATCTTGGGCGCTCGCTGTGATCACGCAACCACCGTAATTTCCTCTCAGATGCGCACCGTCTATGACTATAACCTGGTCATACACATTTTTATGGTTTCAAGCAAAGAAAAAAACTTCAGATAATCTTCACTATGACGTGACATAAACAAACATGTCAGGGTATATGTGTCTTTGACTATTACCTTGCGCATGAACTTGAGGCCGTTTATCGAGGCAGCTAGGGCGAAGAAGAGGTACTTAAACCTTTGGTTTCCCAACTCATCCACAGTTGTTTCCAGTGCAGTTAATGTCCCAGGGTTGGCAGCCTTAAGAGCATGCAAGTATGCCGGTAGAAGAGAGTAGCTATTGCCCATTGAACCTCTTGCCCCGTCAATAGCAATCCCCCTAGCTCTACAAGTTTTCCAATATGAGATTGGGACGCGGTGGTCATTTAAACAGATCCTTTGAACCTCCCCTGGTCTTGGTCCGGTCCCAGCACCCATGTATTGCGGCCTCATGAACTCACCTACAACTCTGGCGGAAGCTTGTTTGTGGTAGTTACTACGGGCTTCAATGCTGCAAGTGTGTTCCAGACAAGCACTACGGATTTGGTAGTTGTCCGAGTCTTCAAGTCGGACGACATACACCCGCCAGGGGCAGCTGTTGGCAACACAGTTGAGGAGGACCACTTTCTTGTCTGACCGGGTGTGACGAAAATGGAACTTCCTTTGAAGTGCATGGATGGCCATTTTGAACTTGAAGTCCTCCTTATTTTTATAACCCCGACCCACGAATATGTCATCTCCCTCGTACGTTGCATCGTCTATAGCTTGGTCGACAACTGTGTTTCCTGGTAAGACACATGTGAATTTTCATCAAGTTGAGAAAAAAATTCATATATAACATCTTATAACGTTACAAATCGAGGAGTTATTAATATTTATAGCAAGATATGTACGTATATAACCGGATATAAATAATGATAACGAGATATACGTTTAGATAAATAACTATAGTTTTAGATAGCAGGATATTACGACACTAAAATAGCAGGACATACGTATATATAACGAAGTCATTACCTCCATCTATGTTGTTTTCCAGAACCGGAGCTGCGTCCCTGCCAAATACCCCCATCGATAAGTCTAC